GACTCCATTTACAATCGGAGAGGTGGCCCTGGAGCTGCGTCGGCTGGAGGTACACCAGTCCTCTGGACCTGATGGTGTTCATCCACTTATCCTAAGGAAGCTGGCAGACGAATTTGCAGTGTCACTGTACAACCTGTTCACTGTCTTTCATCCAAAAACGCTCACCGCGGCAGCGGAAGGACGCTGTCATTGTTCAGCTGAGTTCAGTTTGTACAAAAATCAGCTATGTACCTTCGTTCGGCGGTTCTTCTTTGCTGTCTTTTGGCTGCCGCTTGGATAAAGAACAGGAGAAAGACAGGAAAGTTGAAAGTATAGTCAAACAGAAAATGGAGAATTTCAATAATCTAGGGTTGCAAAGAAATTGAGAAGACGTTGGCGGTTTCCATGTAAGGTGGTGTCGGTTCTTGTTTGATAATTTCGTGTTTGACAGAAACACTCCGTGATCCGCACAGAATTGAAGTAGGTGATCTCCGTTGTCCGTCCGATTGGCTGGGATTGCATGTGGTCCACCAAGAAGCCTTTCTCATTCGTACAGGGATCACACTTGAGCATTGAAGTCTCCGACGATAACTACGCCGTTCGTTGGTCGAACACTGGAGTAATCGAGAAAGGTCCTTGTAGAATTCATCCTTGAATTCAGGTGTACTGCAATCGGTCGGTGCATACACCGATTCGACGAATAAGCACCGACGCCTCGTTCTGTAGCGGTTGACCCGTGCAGAATCGTTGAGACGTACAGCGAACAGTCGGCTACTGACTGGAATCCATTCAAGAAGCGAGTGCTCAGCCTTGGCACTCAGCGCAATCCCAACACCAGCAACACCGAGAGCTTCGGATACCGAACTGCCTGACACACGAAGGGTGGAGCGTGAGATTGAGGTTGATTGAGGAGAAAGTGGAGAGATAGTGGAAGTGGGGTCTTGTATGCGTGTTTCGGAGACACAGCATACATCTAAATTGAAAGTTTCAAGGGTTCTAGTCAAAGCAGCCTGTTGACCAATCTGATAGAGTATGCGGACGTTGAACGCGGTTAAGTGAAAACAAATTTGAGCTTTAAAAGGATATAACTTTTGATTTTCTGGCCTTGCTTGTAAAACGCTGAGTGATATCCAATGGATCTCGTAAACAGGAAGGACCTGGGATTATTTTGGATTAAGAAGAAGGACTAGACAAATGGGAAGGAAGGTTTTCCAAATGAGTGCCTAAGACTTTAGGGTTCGACATACTTCGCGGTAGTCCACACCGACGAAGGGGTTTTCCTTTGGGAGCCTTTGACTCAAACGTTTGACCCACAAGGCAGTGGGGCGTAAATTCAACGCGGGAGCGTTAACGGCGCACCCGTGTGGGAGCTTCTGGAGATCTGTCGAGCAAGGCCTTCGGATTTCGGTTAAGTTTGTTGTTCGCCGGTGCGTTGAGTGTCGGTCCGCTTTTCGGGATCGGCCCTTGGTCTCATGCACCCAATGAGACAAGCGTAAGGTGGACAGGACAACACCTTATTGGCTGGAGGATACCCAGCTTGGGCGAGCGGTAACTGTCCAATAAAGTTCTCCCGCCGTCGAAAGGAAGCCCCAGATACCCCGATTCCACGTCCACCTAGCGGGGTTTTTTAACCGGTAACCTGTCCCTCACTGTGTTTATTTCCTGTATTGATCTCTCCAGGGGCGGATGTGGATAGCAAAAGGGAGCCAGGAGGTGCCCAAGCAGCTGGCTTTGTGAGGCTGAACTTTGTCTCTCTTCTACTCGTTGACCTTTCAGGCATGACTGGATCTACGGTTGTGAAAAGCCATCTTGTGTAACTCGCAGGGTCATGGAAACACGCAAGCCATCACACCATGTCAAGTCCCAATCTGATCGTGATGGGCTGTCATTTCGCCAGTACCCAAAGGGGGAGACAAGAATTCTTCTGGAAACTACTGATCAGTCAACCTTACTAGTGTTGTGAGTAAAGTAATGAAACAACTGATGGTTGCATGTCCTCGGCTTCAGTGTGCCATGGTCACCTGTGCCGCCAACGACACGGTTTTCGGCCGGATCAGTCATACCTCTCGAACCTGCTCCTAGCCCATGAGTGCTGGGCTGAGGACGAGGCCAAAGGACACGAAAAGGGACATCATCCTCGTGGATTTCAGCAAGGCGTTCGACAACGTGCCAGACAACTGCCTTCTGCGAAAGCTGTCCAACCTTGGTATAGGTGAGGTCATGCTGCAAGACTTCCCTATTAACAGGAAATTCCGCGTCCGTGTTGGCATATCGCTATCTCCTTGGTATTCCACCTTCATTGGTGTCCCTCAAGGCTCGGTCTTTGGTCCACTTCTTTTCGTAGTCTATGTCAACGACCTGCCTGGTTAACTGCACAGCCCATCCATCAGGTATGCGAATGAAATAAAATTGGCGTACAATCGAGGGTACAGAGGATCGGAGTACTCTTCTGGCAGATCTGAATACCTGGCTCAGTGGGCGGACACCTGGGCACTTCCATTCAAAACAGCAAGGTGTACTTACCTGCACCTGGGGTGTGCTATTTCAGAGGTGGTCTGCAGCTTCCAGGGAATCACACTGCGTAGAAAATCATGCGAAAGGAACTTGGAAGTTATAGTGACATAAGCACTGAAGACCCGAGAAAACACCGATAGGGACTGTGCCAATGCGTACAGCATTCTGGTATACATTCGGAGATCTTTCAGCCGGCTTACGATGGACGCTTTTAGACTGTTTATGCCTCCCATCTCAGACCAAGACTTGAGTATGGTAGCGCCGAGACATACCCTTGCACACCGGTCAACTGCCTAAGTTGGAGAGTGTCCAACGTGCTGCCACTAGACTCGTTGTTGGACAACGTGGGACCAGCTATGAAGGTCGTCTACAGGCTACTGGTCTGTTCCCAGTTGCGTATCCGCGCCTCAGGGGAGATCTTATCTGTTTGAGGAAGATCCTGAGAGGTGATATAGGTCAGCAGTTGCAGAGGCATTTTCCTTTACGGTCAGAGGAACGCACGCTGGGGTACTCTTTCACGTGGTGTAAACTTCAATCGGTTGGTCTTCCGTTTGTCTACCGACTCTCGCGGAGGTAAATAACGCTTTGGAATACTCTTCCAGCGACTGTGGGGGAGTGGAAGACCGACGCTGCTTTCAAATCGCTTTTGGATGAGCACCTTAGGTAGCTGTGTAGGAACGAACACGTGTGATCGGACCTTCAATCCAGTGGTGACCGGGCTTACACAGGTATCCTGACCTCAGCTCTCAATACTGAAGACTGAAAAATCTTGAAATCGCCATAGGGTGAACTTTAGGACGCCTTTTGGCTGACACTTGATGGGTGCAGTTTGAGATCAAAAAACGTTTTGCAAACAATCATGAACCGCATTGATTACGATTATCAGTATGCGGATGGTGTTTATCAAGTCCAACGAAGAACTTTATGTACCGGTAATCTTGCCCCACTTTTGTGCAGCTCGTTCGATTGTCAGTTTCATAGTTCAGACAATGAAGCTAGGGTGCATCCGTTCATAGAAGTTTGTTGTACTCGAACGGTCACATTTTTGTGTCACTTACCAACAAACCTACCTTGTAAACAGAGCTCTAATCAGGTGTGTCCATGATGATTTGTGGCGAGAACGGCCAAATAAGCGGAAAACATCTGTAATAATTCATCATTTCAGGTGCATATACGATGTCACTTGCGTGAATTGTATAACAAAGCACTTTTACACCACATCAAAGGTCATCATGCATAGTGCGTAAGTCACCGAGAGCGTGGGATTATTTCAAGGTCAGTCGCTTTTCATCTATATTGAAGAGGCTTCACTCGGCCTCCACTGTAATTTATCACGCCAAATCACAAAAGTGAATAGAATGAGAACAAACTGATGCAATTATCTTCTGCTTTCTTCAACTGAACAACGGAAGATGATCTGAGCGCTTAAGCTTTTTTCGCCACGACCAGCTAATGCGGCTCAAAACTGATAACTTCCTTTAAATGATCGCCGTTATGCAACTGAATTTCCTCTCCCCGTTTCGGGAGCCATTTAACACTCAATCTCAATAACCTACTTCCTTTGTGTCTGTGATATATCGTCCGAAACCTCTAACATATTCCTCTTTTAGGTAAAGCCAAAGTAACTGTGCCACCCGGACAGTGCAATAACCGTAAGATATGTTTGCCTATCATTTCGTTTCTGGCTTAACAACAGATCTCGAAGGTGCTGTATATGTCGAAAGTCACACTATTTTATATCCACTAATCTCATATGGTACATATTCTAATCACTTTTACTCTTCTGTCAATTTCAGCCCATTCTGACTGTCATCGTGAGGTTATTACGAAGAAAGAGACCACAGGAACGTGAGTTCACTCATTTTTGCCTAAAGGCATCGTATAACAAACACCAAAATGCACTGTAATGAATGCCGGATACGCTGACTGCATAACACAAATTCCCGCGGCTAACAAGCTTTGATGAAGTTTAAATTTCACCTTTTTTGTGTGTGTGAGCAAACCGAGATTCCATCTCTCGGTTCTACTACATTGCATTCATACTAGTGAATGAAATCATACATTCCGATTTTTCATTTTTTTTACTCACTCTCTATTCCCGGAGACCTAAATCAAGTAGTTGGGATTCCGTAGACATATGCATCGTTGCCTTTTTCAGTTAAAAATATTATTTCCCACATCCCGATCGGTTCTCTCCCGTTTATCTGATTACCTCAGGTAAACAAACCTCTTTTCTCACATCGCTGTTTTGGGGAATCACTTGTGTAAAGATCGTTAGTGAATAGCTTTGGTACCCTCTTTTGGAACCCATTACCATTGCACGAGTGTGTACCCAGAATAGGAAATTAGCCCACAGAACCTTGGGTTGGGAGCTTGAGAAGGTTGACGGTGCCCATAATTAAACGCAATTCTGTGGGATCAGGTCATTAACTTTCTATTTTCTATGTTCCCTTCTAGCTGCAAAAAGTTGGACCGTCCTCATGCAGACCGTTTTCCATCAGTCCGACATGAATCCGACTGACCAGTGGGTTGAGCATCAACGCGAACTCACCTCGGCCACTGAATCATCCCACACAACAGCAAACTATGTCAATCAGTCCACATCGGACGCTGTCCCTCACCTGGTCCTACGAGTTCGTTTGGAATGTGAGCAGTACTTCTACGGTCTGGACTGCGGTCAGTTCTGTCAACCGATGCGTGGTCCACATGGGAATTTTATTTGTGATCCTGAGACCGGAACACAACAATGCCTTCCTGGCTGGACTGGTGAAAGATGTACACAAGGTACATAATCAAGTGTATATGTGTATACATACAAGAGCTAAATCAGGAATACTCGACAGATGTAACTGTGTTCACCTTTATAAATAGCCGGTTTTAAGTTTGACCGGAACGTTTTATTAGTTCATGACTCCAACATGTTTCCTACTCCGTGTTCTGTTGGAAATACGGTTCTGTCCGCTGATAACCGTTCTCGTTATTCATACGTAAAGGCCACACAATATGTCGCGAGGCTGGCCAAAACGGAACGAAAATTAAGTCACGAGTTCACAAAGTCATGTAAGTATACGGACAAAATAGTACTCCATTAGATGAACTATATAAGAGGATGAAATATTTCGGGGGAAATATTTTTGAATGGCTGATACCTTTGTGCCTGTGAGGAGTGTGGTGTTATTTGCGTTGTGTAGTGTTCTAAATAAGTTGCTTATTTTGTGCAACCCGAGGTGCTGTGACTGGTTCCTACTTGTCAGCAGTGAGGTTATACTTTAAAAGTTTCTTTTAAGCGTTGTTCGAAACCAAACTGGGATGGGTTTGGCTACTCTTGATTGTCTCTCTATCGTGTTTCACGTAGATGGCCTAACATCCACAGCTATGTCGAGAAACATAGTTGGATTTAAAATGAGAAGACAACAATTCTTTTATTAAGAGAACCGGTAACCGGACGATTGCGAAAACAGCAATAGATTCACTTGTATTGCAAATAAGATTAATGACCGGCCATATAGTGATAATTTTTTAAACTACTGTACACATATATAGAGATGTAACAAAACAACCCCTTATTAATTGAGCAAACCAGTTTTTGCTTTTATATTTAAATAAATCAAGGAAAAATTGTATCACCACTTCTGAAGTGATTTTTCATCCATTGTTCCCTCGATGGGTAGTGCTGGTCAACACCTCAGATCATTCTCGAACATGGTCAGACCGGACAAGGACGGTAGAAAAGTGGCAGATTGACTGTGTAGCACACTTGAGTACCAAATAATTCAAAACTGTTATTTTCTACATTCGTAGAAATTCTAACATAGCCCTATCCCTCGCTTTCACTATCACTCCATCAATTCACAAAGGATCATGTATTTTTTGTTTTTGTTGCTTTCAGTGCATCAAATATTACCTAATAAAGAACGTTTTCTTTGATTTAAAGTTTATTGTGTCATGATTTATTTATCGCATGATATGGGTTCACATGAGTGTGAAATGTAATAATATGATAATAATATATCAACTGAGTGCTTGGCCTCTATATATGTCCGCGAAATCACCTGTTCAACATTGTTTCTCAGTGCAATCGAGAATTTGCATGCCGCAACTCAATCCTTCAGTCTCTTACAGATCGTAATGTACTTCCATGTGCGTCAGACTTCAGACGTCAGATGGAAAGTAACCTTTCTTGTGACCTCTTTCAGACTAACCATGCAACAAACTAAACTTTCATTGAACTTTATTTTCCAGCTATTTGTGATCCCCCTTGCAAGCATGGAACATGCGTTCGACCAAACTATTGCAAGTAAGTCTTATTAGTGAAAATTTTACGTTTATTTATGTATTTACATTTCTGTCGGATAAAAGGATATGTTGAAAACTGATTCTTGAAAACAGAAAAAGGAATGTGGATAAACATGGTTGTGGAACGCAATTCACATTCTCTTGATCACAATTATTTGAGTAGCCCCTAACTGTCATCTAGTTTGTTCACTGTATACCTGCACCTGTGGGTAAGTGAGCACCCGAAAGAAACAGCCTTGATATCCACACCCTTAGACGATTTCGTTCTTTGCGTTACCTAGTAAGCATCATCTTTGAGGTTGGTTCAACATATGCCTTAATATGATACTCACGTTCCAGTTTTCTTGTGTATTCCGACACTTATCTTATATTTTTACAAGAATCTTGGAGATTCGAGTAGATTAATTAAGGTGTAGCATGTTGATTCATACGCTGAAAACAATCTAAATAAATGAACAAACTTCTGATTTCGGAAAAGTTTTGGCTATGCGATGTCTGTCTGTTAGTAATTCGGTTAAATTTGGTGGGCGCCAAAAGTGTATTTTGCTGTCTGCTGGGTCCACTCAAAATACCCGTTGTTCATTGACATCGTTCCGATACATAATTTCATAAAAGCGTTCTAGTTAGGACCGGAAAAATAACGACAGCGTAGTAAAACATCAAACGTTTATCTGACCTTGAATGCTTTTGTTGGAAGCTTAAACTGGAATGCAAAGACGCAGATCAGCGCTCATCGTAAGTAGATGATAGTTGTCTACAAAATCAGGTGATCTGTTCGTTTGTGGAATGCTTTTGATGTAATAAGTTCAACCTTCAGCGAAATCAAACACGTTCCACTGCTTCTGAATTAGCTGTGCAACGTTTCTCAGCACATTGCTTGAAGCTTCTTTTACACTGAGTACAGAAATACTCAATCCGGATAATATCAGTAAACTGTCATATGATTAGGCCAACGTCAGTGCTACGTCCCCAAAACAGTTAATAACACTCGAAAGCGTTGAATCTCTTGGCTTCACGGAAATCTTTGCACGTGGGACAGTCATTGAGAAAACAGTCCATGCAGGGTTAAAATACCAAAACCAGTTTTCTTCATACGCGTGTCGTCTAAAGTATCCCAGTGAGACCCTAAAGTCTATAAAAAATTCATCAGCGCTTTAATGTTAGTTTAACTGTGTTAAAGTGGACTTTAAGTGAACACCCTTTTCAAAAGATCTTTGGATCATAAACTGAATGCACTCCTCACAAAAATGGTCATTCATATGCAAATCAATATCCTTTGCTTCGTCGCTAACGATCGGAAATCTATTTATCACTGATAAACCCATAAAAAAGTATAAGGAATTACAAGTTTCTCCCTTCCGTTTGAAAATGCATTTATTAAATAAAATAAAAGTAGAAGTCGTACAACCTATGGACATTTTTAAAACCGCCATCCATAGAAGTTAGTGTCCGCTGCCTATTACATATTACAACACTGTCCACGCGAACTTCCAGAATATTCACTGATGCCGTCAGAGGAAGCACACCACCCGTTTCGCGGTTCTCATTGGTAAATATTCAATAAAGACGCCTGAGTCGTTTTTATTGCAGTTAGTAGCATCTAACCCAGCTGCAAACATCGAATCATGGCATAGTATTGAACCTTCAATGGAGTTGTTCTGAAAGAGCTGTCCAAACAAATTTATCCGGTGCCGCCAGTGAGGTTATTGTAACGAATATATGTATTCTACAGAAGAAGAGCGTGGTCCGTTGAATGTGTTCTTTCTTGGGTGGTTTCAGAGATAAAATCAGTCGGAACCGGGACAATGTGTTCACTCTGTGCAGGTCCGCTCTCGATGTGGACCGCTGTCTCCCTGCCTTAAAATGTGCAAACAGGTTCAGGCTACTGTCAATTTTTCAGTAGTTGCAATGGAAAACCAACTATTCAACATGATCAACCTGGCTAGACCAGATTCAAGCGGTCTCCGGCTGTCGCACGCATGAGGATTCACATTTTCCAATACGTTCCCAATTTTTAACAAACCCAAACCAGCTAAATGGGTAATAAAGTGGGTTATGACTTTGCAATTCCACTTCCTCGGTATGCCGCAATTCACTGTTTCGTTCACCGATGTACCATTTGGCTAATGACCAACCAAATTTCAATGTCACATTCGCCAATAAAGTTTCACCTAGCGTAACGCACACATGAGACTTTTTACCTCTGTGAGGAAGATACATATAATTCGGCTTTTCAAGCCAGTGTTATTCAATGAGACAATGTGCATGCATCACTCTATCAGACAAAAGCAGTCTGTATAGGGAATGCTGAATCCACTACGTGCAACTCAGTGCTCCTTAGAAAAAGAAATCACCTAACACTTTAGGGAAAACTGTTTGAAATGTTATATTCAATCGAAAACTTTTCTGTGAACTACTCAGCTTTGTTGCATTTCGGGCGAGATGTTCCCTAAAATTCCACGAGAAATTCAAAACAGTTAACGAGGCGAAGCTATCATGGCCAAAGAAAAGTTTTCGTCTCTGATTATTGGTAAATCTTCAAATCGATGGTGTCTCCGTGGTAGAAATGACAAAAGCTTGTCCTGCAAGTATAATTCTTCGAAACCACATAGATGATTTCTGGGTTATTCTTATTTTAGCTCTTTGATATCAACGACGAAATGGTTTCTCAAAGGTGACCTAGTTGACTGTTATGGATAATCCCCCTCGCCATAACATGGGACCAGCATTATCGAATATATGATTACCACGGCTGCCTCCAGACTGCACCTCAGTGCTACAACCAATGCAGTAGGGGGTGATTTACTCGCTGTTCTGTTGAGGGCCTAGACTGAATCCATTCCATCATTCACGCCTGCGTATGGTGACTAATTTATTCGTTCGTCTTGACGTAATTCGTTCCCACACCCGACCTACCGAAGTCAACTGGCGACGGGTCCGTTCATTCTTGTCTAAAACTCACTCGACCAACGGTCAATGACATACCATTCTTGAGTGGGGGACGAACATTCAAACCGCACCCCACCGAAAATGTCAACCTTACCCAGTAACTCATTGTAAAGTACTTTTGTTTGTTTCATTAGTCCCACAGAACACTTTGAGAACAACAGCGTGGCGAACAAGCTCGTTTTCAGTTATTTGTAGTCATGCCATTACATAACATTAAATATGGCTAACAATAAGAACAAAACAAGGAGGGATGATAGATTCGAGTCCTGATGATTCAGTTGTGGCTCCAATCATGCGTGCGTGTATCTGTGTGAAATTGATCAGTGTCAAAAGTTCAAGTGATTGCACACGTGTTGGAGTGGCTTCAGTGGGCCAGGAAAGATAAAGAGATTGCACAAATTTCTTCTGGGCGCACGCACAAGGGTGTGTGTGTGAATCCGAATACTTACGGCTTCGGCCGTGGCTAAGATGCGATGCTTCACTGCTCTTGATTGCCTGCATCGAACCTTGTAAATCGGTCGGAACGGGCTTGCCATATC